GTATTTATATGTAATGTTATTTCCTATGTTTTTGAGTGCAATAAAGTATATTTCTTCTTCTTTCTTCTTCTTCTGCTTGTTCTTATATAATTTGTAGTTTTTATTTGAGACTATTAGACGACATATATTCATTTAGATACTTTTATAAACACTCAAACTTATATTATATAGACCGTGTTAATATTGTTGAATTCTAACAGTTCTGAGGCTTCCATCGTACTACCGCTTTCATACATAAAGGTCTCAAAATTTTGCACCATTGCTCCTTTGAATCTTTTTGCCAATATAAAATGACACTCCGGAAATCGTAGTAAAACTAAATTATCCTAAAAAACACAATTGATCCTAATAATTTGTTCATCGAAATGATCTTCACATTTTCCTAAATAATTTTTATCTAACACTACTTTGAACTTTCTATAACCGTAATGATACTTTATATACATTCACATTATATTGATATAAGCAACATTGCTATTGATAAAAATACAGTATTATTGAAAGTTATAAATACTTTTTATAAGAATATATAAAAACATATTTTGATATATCACAGCAGAAATATTTGAATAGTTCTTAGATCATACTAGTCATAATTGAATAGAACAAAAAATCAAGAAACCATTGTTATCGTCCCGGATCTCAAATTATTTATTCATTGCTGCTAATAATTACGTTAAAATCCAATGGGCTTATAAAATTCATTGATATTCTTATCATAATTAACGTCCGTAGTAATTATCTATAGTAATAAATAAATAAATAAATGATGATAAATTTACAGTAGCGTATTTATGGTCATAAATAATAGTTTCAAAAGTAAACTCACGTTATTATAGAAAACCGAAGAAGTCCCCTTTACCTGGTCAAAGAAGTCTATTTATCTTTAGCTAGGAATTATTTTTTTATTCCTTGAGATCGTTTTTTTAAATCCCATTTCAAGAAGATATTATTAATGTTTTCAGGTATTATTTGTATATAATAGTTTCTATAGTGCTATATTTTTGAATTTCAAAAATTTCAAAACTATACTGACTTTTTATTTTACATAGTTTCACTTATACTTCCATGTTTTGGAAAACCCGATCTACAATTGTACGAAAAGTAGTGTTTCCTAAATGTATTGAATGTCTTTTCTTAACCCTCAATGACTAAATTGAATGATTTTAATCATTTGATTATATCATATATACATATTTAATGTTATATTTAGCTTTAAAAAATCCATTCCCATAATGAAATGCTTTCCGATGCTATAATGTCCAACAATACGTGAACAATATGTGTAATTCTAAGGATATCTTACATTGTACATGTACATTGTTGGCAATGATACAGTTAACTGACAATATACGTTGTCAATTACTAATCTTGAACTTATCGTTATTTTGTCGTACTGTTCATCAAAATATTTGAATTATTTTTCAATTCATCTATCACGAAATTAAAAGACATATTCAAGTTGCAAAACGCGATTTAACGCCATATACTTCTCTCGTAGGTAATCTAAAATCGGCTCATAAAGATACACTTACCAGCTTTAAAAACTATGAGGTTTTCAAGCCATGTCTATATTAACAAGGGTTATTGTTTTTTTTTTTTGAGGATAAGATGAACTTTAGCTGCTAGCTATCTTCATAATATGAAATTCTAAACTACAAATCCATAACATAAAAGCACCAACGTCATCCTCACTTGTTTTAACTCAAAACAAGAGACTGTCTGTCATCAAGAGTAGAATTCGGAACCTTTGGAGAACCTTCGCAAGAATCAAAAAGACCTCCTTTCATTTGCAGTTTCTTTTTATTATGGCAATCATTCTTTTTCATTAAACTTGCACCCTATATACCTTTAATAAAATATAGGTTTGGATTTAAACCGTTTTAAATTTGATTTTCTGTCACAATAGTAATGAAACCAGGTAAGCAACAGTATTATCTTCTAAAGCCGAGCCCAATCCATGGATGGCATACGTCAAAATTACCGTTACTTATCCCGAACTAATTTTTTAAACTTTACTTATTGGATTAGCAGAGAAATTTTGGAGTTTAGAAAAAGGAAAGGATTCAATAACATGATTGACTAACAAACCAGATATAACACCATGAATCATAAACCTAACAGTTGACATTAATCTTCTGTAAACGAAGGTTACTCACCTGATAACAACACCTACTTATCTCATTTGCAAAAATCAATTCAACTAGAATGATGAATAAAAAATGTATAAAAATTTGTGAAAAGTGATATGAAAACAATATATTAAATAGTTTATTTTCTATCCTAATACCTATTTTCATTTGAAAAACATCTTAGGCTTTGGGAAGAAAAACCGTTTCTGGCACAATGGTAGTGAGTTAACCAATCCTGCAACGCTTGTGTAACGTTAACCAAATTGATAACCTAATATACATTTTTAATTTATTATCATTAGTGTCTGTTTCTATAAGGTTAATATGAATCCATGAGATATGATTTAAATACACACAATGAACGGTGTATAGATACAATTAACAAACCTTTTTTTATCAAACTTTGTATATTTCTGAATTCTCACATCGGTAAGGCAAGAGAAGGTTGAAATTTATATTTTTCAAATACTTTTACGAGTACTATGACTACACTAGATACCCGTCAACATTAATGCTCTGCATTGTTTTTCGGGACATAGTCGCCCATAAAGTCATACACCAAAAAAATTAATAAACCACTATTTAACAATCACCCTGAAATGTAAAATTACTAATGACTCTGGATGACTAGACAATGGATGGAATTGAAACTTGTCTAAGTGGAAACCAGGTTTACTTAGTAACCATATCTGCATCATGGTGGACTAATGATACTATAAAGATGATGGAAGCAACTGGATGTAATGTGATCATCGAAAAAACACTCCACGGGAGGACATCGTTAAACAGTGGGAAGAGATAGGCTTACTTGATTAAAACATAAAACTTACTTAAGTAAAGGCAATTAAATAAAACTTGTTCTTTTTAAGGCATTTTTTTTCCTTGAAGAAGCAATTTATCACTGTTCTTGGATCCGGGGAATGTATGTAGAGAGGCTATTTGAAACTCTCGTAATTAGATTTATAAAAGTCTCTTTATCTACTCGGTTCCTTCGACGGATTTAATCTGAGGAAGAAGCAATCTCCCTCTCTATACGGCACGGCTTCTTTCGAATCGAAAACTTATGCACAGAAATTTGCCATGGTGACCAAAAAGTGGTCGCAGTCCAGCATCTTTGTTAAAAGACTTAAGAGCAAAACCCTGAAGCCAAACAGCGCCATCCACTCACCACACTAACACTCCAAATCATCTTAAATCAGGTTGTGTCGGGCAGTTTGTTACTACCTATACAATACAGATGGTTATTGTCTAAACATAAATGTCTTGGTCATTAAGTACCTAAAAAAAATATAAAACATAAGTCTAATTTCTATACAGGGTGACTGGTGAATTACTATCGATACTTGAGGACGTGATATTTGACGATCATATATGACAAAATAAAAATTAATATAACATAAATATTAATAAACTTCTAAGTAAAATTAACCAAAAGTTATGTAATTAATTACGCATCGTGTGAACACCCTACAAATTAGGTATACACACACACGCACACAGACGCGTGCGGCGGCGTGGTGTTGTATCAGCACGCCGCCGCACGCGTCCACACTTGGAACACTTGGAACGTGTCCACACTTTATTTATTTATACGGAAATTTGGTGAAAAATTAAGTACCTATTTTTTTTACATAATTCGAATGAGAATCATGTACCGAGTACTCTCCTTAAATATTGATAGTAATTAACCAGTCACCCTGTATATTATTTTTTACGGAAACGAATGTTACTTTGAATGACATTTTCATCAATGAATGGTCTTTAGACTGATGCCTATATAAATTCCAAATATTTCGAAGATAAATTAGAACGTAAAAAACAAAACAAATTAAGTCAAACCTTAATGCGTGCTGCTTTTTCATTATTTCTTGAAAATAACGAATAACTTTTTTGTCTATACTACATATAATACTCTTAAGTTTACTCTCAATTTACGATAGATGTCTCTCGCAGTATTAAATCGTTAAATCATAGTCTGTTATAGCACAAATAAGAGACAAAATACAGTGATAAAAAGACAAACGAAAAATCTTTACATTTTATTTTATTGGGAAAAATATCTTTTAGGAAATAATAAATTACATACTTATTTCAGAAATAAATTTTATCCTGAAAATTGAACTACAAATTTGACACTACACTGTATAATAAAAACAATATAATTAATAGAAAAAATATCTTCATTTTACTTATTACATATAAACATCTATTACATATAAAACAAAAAATTTAATAAATTTCAAATGTGACCAGCGTTTTGCACACAACTTCCTACTCATAAAACAAGTTATATATACAAACAGGATAATAATTTAAAATAATTAAATAATACTGATGGTAATATTGAGCATATCTCCATTTTTTATTACAATAATAACGGATATTGTAGATAGAAACGATGTTTTTTTTACTTTAAATTCACGAAAACCTCTTATATAAATTTGATGAACAAATATAACAGGCAAGGTGAAATAATCTTCTATATATATAAAAATGGATTGCTGTTCCTTAGTCTCGCTAAAACTCGAGAACAGCTGAACGGATTTATCTTATCTTAGTCTTGAAATGTTTGTGGAGGTTCAGGGAAGGTATAAAAGGTGAGAAAAATTTATTCATTTTCGGGAAAACCCTAAAAACAGCCCTTTTCTATTTCCCATACAAATGCTTTCTTTGACATTAGATTTGACAACTAACTAATATGTCAATCATTCTGTTCGATTGAAACAGGAAAAACCCGATTATTTATGGCCTCTAGGACGGAATAGAGTTCGCCCGGTCAGCTATACATATATTACTAATGATGAAATTAACGCGGACGAAGTCGCGGGCAAAAACTAGTACCTTATAAAACATAACAATGTAACTTACCAGCAAACTGACAATGTTCGGATCGGATACAAGGTCGAAAGATTCACACGATTGGAGCGACACCCGCCTCGCCATAAGCACGACACGCCATGACAGATACGAATCTTCATATACTTCATAACTATTGTATGTATAAATTCGCTTTTATAAATATTACCGAATTAGTTTGGAAGTTGTGTGAAGTATGGATTAATTGGGATATAAAAGATTAGTAGAAAGATATGGAGATCTAATCCGTTCAAAAACGAGATGAAAAGAGTTCGTTTAAAATGACATGAGTGGAAGAGAAGTGACTGTAAAAGAAAAAAGAGAAGATGTTGTGATAAACTAACTTATATGTTAAAAGGGCGTTGAATAGAACATGATTGTGTTTAAAAGTCGAGTCTTTTTATAATAAACTAGAAGACCTGGCGAACTTCGTATCGCCCTATAATCAAGAAATATCTATTACGTTTTTTTATTTATATTTTTGGAGTTTACCTGTAAGATATAAATCTCCGTGTTTTGAAGTGCGACAGAATGATTGACATATTAGTTACTTGTCAAATCTAATGTCAAAAAAACGTTTGTAGGGGAAATAGAAAAGGGCTGTTTTTATGGTTTTCCCAGTAATGAATCAATTTTTTTCAGCTTTTATAATTTCCCTGAATCTCCACGAACATTTCAAGACTAAGATAAGATAAATCCGTTCAGCTGTTCTCGAGTTTTAGCGAGACTAAGGAACAGCAATCCATTTTTATATATATAGAAGAGAAGATAGAAGATAATCAGTTCCTTCGTACTCGACAAACGTGAAATATTAAGACATCCCAAATTCAAAATAACACAGGATATTAAAGGTTTAAAAGATATCTAAAATTGACATTCATTACCTATAATTCTTTAAACTGAACATTTAATCTATATATTCCTACGATGAGTAACTTAAATATTATGATGTAAAAATCTTAAAAAACTGTCTGAGTTAAAAATAATTATTACGTTCATATTATAACATGTAGGCTGGATGACATACTCTCGGTAAACATAACTTGAAGTAAAAACTAAAAGTAAATTTTACTGTGTCTTTGAACAAGATAAGATGTTGCATATTTACAATATTCTACTGTGTAGTTGTTCCATTGAATAACATAAATAAAATAATAAAAAAAATGATTTAAACCTAAAAAAAATGTGACGTATTTTTGTCATAGCAATTACTCAAAGTATACACAATAAATTCACAGTTAATGTATATCTTATATAATTAAAATCAATTGTTTTAAAATGTTTTGCATCAGAAAATAATATATTATCTATATTTAGAATCTGTTCACTTGTTATATAACCAAAGACATCACAGATAGATGATCTCAGAATTAGCGCTGCAGTGATTCTTGTTATAATATTAATATTGCAGTTCAAATATTAGATGATTCCTGACGAAAGGATTATGCCAAATTGTCATTTTTAGCATAAATGCCAGAAAACGTCGCAATGACAAATTATAACGATCAAGCAATCGAGACGTACAATCATTCGAGTGAGATATTACGATAATTTCAATGAGTCACGCGATCGTGATGAAATAACTGGAAATACGCAAACCATTCAATAATTACCATTAACAGAGTAACGGTTGAGTAAAAAGCAGACGAAAATAACTAACGCTGGATAGACAAGCATAGGAAATACATCTACATAGGAAAAATGTAAATCACTAAACATTTATAACCGCAAAACCAGGAAAATAAGGAAATCATTGATTTAAAATATAAATGAAACGTTTCGGAAAGAATATTAATATTAAAATGTATTGAATATAAATGAATCGTAACTCTATTGGCGTAACGACTGACGTTATGTCCTCAAAGTCACACACTCAGCTCGTGCTTCTCTGTATAATATTTTCTTTATATATATGGTTTTGTTAAACTATCAGAGCAAATTAATATTTATTTTGACACCCTTTGAAGCTCAGTAAAATCGTAAGATGCAAGCCAAGTAGAAAGACGACTAAATCTTTTGTAACAAATATAATTACATATTTGTGGCTACTTTCTTATCTTTTGGCTCAAATATGGAGGCTTCGTTATTTACTCGTAGATTTTAATATAGTTCGTTAACCTTTAATAATAATTTATTAAACATTACACGATTCTGTCTTTATAATTTTAACTCACCTGTTGTTATTCTAATTCGTTCAATGTTACATAGTCGATATCATAATCTAATCAGTGACTTAGGATAAGTAACTAAATATATTACGTCTATTTATATAAAGAATATTGTGGCTCACCAATAAACCTTGGAAATGGCCTTAAATAAAGAGGTAACACAATAATAAGTCAATAAACATTATATATATATAATTAATTATGTATATTGTATAATCGTTTATTGTACCAGATACTTCTATATAAGCTGACACAAATCCATCTAAAATATCAATATAATTAACACACATAAGAATTTCACTTTCTAAGAACGCGAGCCAGTTTTATCGTAGACATTATAGTTTTTTCAATGTGAAAACTTGGATATTACCTAACATACGTTATTGGTGATAACATATGAAGTGTTACAAGACTTTCTGTATCAGATAAATGCTAAATGTAAAAGTACTGGTTCAGTAAAAACATTAGTTGGAGAGCTGCGCATACGAACAACGAACATGTCATGATTACAAATAGTGTTATTGTAACACCGACAAGAACCAAGTTTCACCTCCGGGATACTGCTTTATCCTTTCTAAATTCAATCCTGTATTTCACAGTAGCAGAACACAATTTAAATTCGTTTAAACATTTTAGTTTCATAGTTTTTATTCATATTTTTTTGATCATATACAAATGATTTATTTCCTTTTAGCACATTATAAGTTACAACGGCATTCGTGCAACCTTGTATTGCAAATATTTCCTAGGTGCAAAAAAAAAGTGCTTAAACGGAATGTTTTGCATAGCTGTTTTAATGATAATTGCCTAATTAGGAATATTGTTGCGTACAGACGCTATGAGACCAGTTGACTATTTCAATTTGATTTAAAGGAATAATTTTTCTGGTAATCACATAAACAATTTGCTACATATACTACGAAACTAAGGTTTATACGTACTAAACAATATACGTGAAATGAGGTAAAAATTTTGTTCACTAACAGCCTTACAAAATGCCATACACGTGAAATAATAAAAGGGTTTTCCTTCCTCGTTTAAAATTTGTAAATGACGCACTAGTATTTTACAAAGATATTTTTTATTTTGATTGTACTTTTGAGTAATACCTAACATTTCTTATGTTTTTTCCAATAAAATACATTACTATTTAATGAAGTATAAAAAGATAAATATATAGCTTATAAGCGAAAACAACTTTAAAGTAATAAACGGCGAAGTGCATATTGTTTGTGAAATATAACTTCTAATTGATAATCGGATGTAATCAAAAGAAACTTGAGCCTATACCCAACACGCACACACAACATTCCCACTTTATCTATGACGCTAATGATCATTTATTTGTAGTGCTTAATGGAACAAGAATCGAGAAGTCTCTATGATGCAGAGATTAGTTATTAGATAGAATAAAAAGACTAAAATTCACATTGGAGGATAATATCAGACATGTAAGCGCAAATGGTTATCTTTTTGCATGTTTCTAAAGGACTCGCAATAAAAATACGAGCCAAAGATTCATAAAGCCTAAGAATAGTAAACAGGTATTCATTAGTGTATGAAAAGATTACCATCGCCGTGTAAATATAATTATCGCTGCGACTAGCCACAAGGATAACAGAATGGCTACCATATATAAGCATTATTGTTTTATATCATGCAATTAGTTTCATAAAAACTATGTACATTAAAATTCAGGTATAATTTTGAGATTATTTGAAGGAAGAGAACGAAAAATTGTTCCCAAATGGGTGATGTTACAAACATTTTTGTCAAAGAAACTTCTGTATTTTTGTTCTGAAAGACCAACTATTGAGTCTTCCTATTATGTAACTCTGTCAGGCTTAACAAGAATATGGATATTTTATTATGTAGGACTTTGAATCTAAGTGAGTGAGTTATAATGAATGATCAACGTAAATAGCTATTATGTTTGACGGATGCGTCATTGCAGCGATACCGTGTCCTTGCGGATCTCCACAATACATCGCATTGTTATAATCGCAAAATACATTATGGCATACATTTTAAAACTGTTACTGTAGTATATTATAAAAATTATAACCTTATATCATTGACTGCCAACATTTTTGATTGCTTATCGTGTATATTTTTGTAATTTTTGCTTGATTATACATTTGTTGTGGATTTAAATTGTTGAAGAACAAATTCTCTTTATAAACTATGTATAAGACAAGATCTTTACGCGATACCTTCGTTAAATATTCGATGAATAGAAACAGAAAAAACTGGCAGTATTTTGATAATACATTGAATCACCTGCAAGGCCGATGCAACGAGCCGACAAAGGCCGCGTTGAGTTTGTCTGCGCAGGCGCACGTTCTATACTAAAAAGTACATTATCAAGTAAATTTATATTATAATTCGCTAATGAAGAAACAATATAACTATTTTCTTGTTATGAATTTAACTATGTACAGCATTACACTTATGTATGTATCCCTCATTATGTTTTCAAAATTTTAAAGCTGGTTCTTTATGAGTGTTTTAAATATCTCATCTATAAAGTATTTTTATTAAACAGTCTATAAATATAAAATTTATATAACACTCGACGTGGCTCCAACCGTTTGCGTTCCTAAAAACCAGTTTAGTATCTCCTTAGCGTGTACATAAAAATTATTAACCGGTGATGTTAGTAGATTAACTAAAAGCTGTACGGTTTTAATATAACTAATTTACGTTTATTAAATGGGCGATTAGTAGAACAATAAATTTAATAACTTATTCGTATATATTATATACAAAATTTATAATATCTTTGGAACAAAAAAGCAGGCAGTTAAAGAGATAAACCAATATTTTATCTCAATTGACCGATAAAATATCTACATGATATATGGTACCATTCTGTCATAAACTATAACCAAATTTTTAATCCCGGGAGGTTTAAGGGCACTGTGGAAACGCTCGTTCATATAGCATACAACAGTTCTTCATAACTTTCTTTATTCAACAAAATTGCACTTAATATTTATATAAATCTAACTACACATTTAGATAATCATTTCATAAAAATCGATATTTACTTAAACATAAATACAATTATATTAAATTTCATAAAAATTCCTTAATAACAAGCAGTACCTATGTACATTCAATGGCAATATATGGAAGGCATAATTGCATTCTGTCGGAGATGATGTAGCGGCGCAAAATTATACAAAAATTGTACGTGAATAGTATCGCAAATCAAATATTTCAACAAGCACGATGTCACCGAGCGTCGATAAGCGCGGCATGGGAGTAGAACGAGGAGGCAGCGCCCCCCTCCCGCACCCCTCACCCCCCAGAGACTCCCCCGTCCGACACACACACACATACACACGCTACAACGATGACCAACACTACCTGAGCGACGCACGCGCAGCCTACGTCACGCACTACACCCTCGCACATTCTGACACCTCATAACTTCTTTACGATGTCGAACTTGGATTTAAGATCCATCGGGACTTTCTTGGGATCCAATTTTTTCTTAGCAGCAAGATGAGCTCTCATCTCCGCTGCCGTCATTTGAAGATTTAAACGCGGAGGCTCCACCGTCGGAGAATCGGTGCGGTCGACGTTATTTGCAGATTCTTTTCCTGGTGTAGGCGAGGAATTTGCTGGCTGAGAATCAGAATTCGCCGACACAGGACGTTCAGGTGTATCGAGATCAGGCAAAGGATCACCTGGCGCCGGCGCAACCACCAGTAGCTCTGCGTCATCAGGTCTCTCCTTAATACGCGCCACCACTTGTTTATGAGTTTCACCTGCGATACTTTGCCCATTTACTTCGAGGATGCGGTCGCCGCGACGTAGGCCAGCCGTCTCCGCGGGTGAGCCTTCGTCGACTTTGCCGATATACTGGCCGGGTTTTCCCTTCTCGGCGTGGAGGTTAAATCCGTATCCATCGAAGTTGGCTACCTTCCGCACGTGGCAGAGCCGCGGCTCCATCGCCGCAGAGCCGTTGGCGGACATCTCTATGAATGAAGACGCGCGCTCGATGTCGCGTCAAGCACACCACTGGCAGCTAGTGCGGACGATGAAGTGACACCGCCCGCTGCCCCCGCTTCACCTGTGAAGGCTTGCAGTCGAGGAGCGGGGGAAGTCGCGTACGACCTCCAGTGTATACCGGGTCGCCGCTGAGGCGCGAAGTATCATCGTGAGTGCAGTGTGTTTAGCGTTCATCACAGACATACTACAAAGGGACAATTTTCTGATGACACAGGGGTGAGTGTACAAATAAACGTACTATTTTACAATCCCTAAGGGATAGAATAGACGAGGTGACACGTCACGGCGCCCGCGCCTTTAGGGAATGAGGCCGCTTTGAGAGAGCGCCGCTTTCCCGCAACTGTGCCTACCGTATTCCCAAACAAAAGGTGAATTTCTCTCTCAAAAACATATGGTGAATCTAAATATTCTCATTTATTTACAAAAATACCATCGTTATACTAATTTTAGCTTATCTATAGAATGACCAAACTATGATAAAACTATATGACCCTATGTCCATAGGTTATGTACATTCACTTGGTGATGTTAAGAATTAATTATTTTTACATAGAGATGCTAGAAGCGGTATAACGGGCGCGTCCGCTAGATGGCAGCACTGGTCTTTGGACGGTCGTTGATCTTGCGGTTGCGACTCTTTCTCCATGGTTCAACACCTGAATTGTTATTGTCCAATTAAAACAAAAATCCAATAGGTTTAAATGATTTCCAACTAATTATAATACCGGATAGTACATCGGCTTAAATCCGTTACTCGCCCAGAATGGATATCCTGTGGCCAATGATACGTGAGCCACGACATTCATAACAATGCCCTCACAGGAAGTCAGAAGCGGTTAATAGTTAGAATATTTTATTTTAACGTATTTTAATCCAAATTAATATTGACTATTTATTTCGTAATACAAAACAAAATGTATAAAATTCTATAATGACAGCATATAATAAATGTGAATATAAAATTATTCAATCAATAAATGGTTACCAGATCTTCAAATGCCAGTTGTAATACCGGAAATTATGACTAATATGCATTTATACCTAAAAAAGAAAGTATGTAAATTATATTATATTAGCAAGTTTTTGTACAAGCCCGTGTTTACATTTTATTTTGGTTTAAGTTCATATTATATAAAGGTGCAGAGTTAAGAGTTAAACAAATATATCTAAATATGTTAGCTAAGCTTTAAATATTTTAATTATTAATTGAAATAATACTCAAACAGTATATGGTAAACGTGTGCGTCCCGTCGTCGGCATTGTAATCTCTGATTAGATTTCTTATCCATTACAAATAACGATTAATATTGGTACTTAAACAATTAAAATCACATTCTAGTCACGACTAATTAACGGCAATTTCTGATAAATATTGAAATAATTTTGAAAGTCTAACAAGCAAACAGTTGATTTATAGTATGTACAAAAATAAAAACAAAATACTCAAGTACTGTAAAATAGAAGGGAGAAAATGTAACCTTAATAAATATTACAAGCATTTCAATGACAGAAACATTTGAAAACCTGTGACCTATGTGGGTAAGATGAAAACATTCAGTTTAAACAAGAATAACAATAATAATTGTAATATATCTATATATGACAATTCTATCTGGCAATTTCCCAGCTTTAGCCAGGGTCTGCCTTACATGTTGTGAATAGTTTTGGCTAATTGTTTTTTACGACTGGCCGCCTGCCTGACATCAACCCTCTTTGGGAAGAATGTATAATTATCTATATAAGAATCTACCATTATTGAAGCATGATTTGTTTGACTTCGAATTCTGTCTGTATGTGTGTCTGTTTGCGCCATCATAACTCAAACGCATTTACCGATTTCGCTGCGGTTTCCTTCATTTGAAAGCCAGTTTCTTTGCGGTGGTTCTTAGCTATGTTTGGATAATATCAATCCAGACATTTTATACTATCACCTCGCTTTCAATGTAAGGTATTTTTTCGTTGAATAACTCTATAAAATGTTCCACGCGTGCCATTATAATCCAAGACAATTAATGGGTAGTTTTTTTTAATTTAGAAATATTTTGGTATAAAAATAGGCTATAAGATATGTACTATTTATTAACTTAAAACAAAATACTTCAATTAATTATTCAAATAACACCCGACATTGTACTTTTAGGCAATAACCCAGAAATCGAGACCAACATTTTATATTATTTATTTAAATCCCATACATAATGACACAGTAAATAAATTACTAATAGGTAATCTATGTCTATTTGTTTATCTTTAAATTGAAGGTCACTACCTACATGTACTTGGAATGTTTAATGGTGAGTAATTCACCGCAACCAATTATTAAAATCACCCACTGTTCCATTCCATAAGCCATTAATTATGCACTGCAAATATTATAATATAAATTCGTCTAAAATACAATAAGAGATGATAAAAATGTAAGCTTAATTTTATTAAACAAACAACTGAGGTATTAAATAATACCCGCTTTTTGTATAGCATGCAAGAAGAGTGTCAATCAAAACAGTTTTGTTTTATTTTCATGAACTTGAAAAAAATTATTATTGTGCCCCATTTAAGTGTTAATTTTACTTATCTATACAATATCGAAGTACTCATTAGACAAAGATTACGTCCCAAGAGGCTATTGTATCCTTGTATGTCAAATACGCATTTTAATATAAAATGTTGTTGATGTTTTAACAAATTTTATACATACGATGAAAAATGATTTGGATTTGTTGTGGGGAATGTCAGGCGTAATTTTGCGATTGAATAAGCAAAAGAAACGAAAGGGAAATTCATATCAACTGCCTCTAAACAAATCTAAAATAAAGTAATCCCTACTAATATAATAAATGCGAAAGTAACTCTGTCTGTCTGTCTGTTTCGCTTTCTCGCCTAAACCACTGAACTGATTTTAATAAAATTTGGTACAGGGATATAGTTGACCTTGAGAAAGAACATTGAAAAGTTTTTATCCCAGACTTTTGAAAGGTTTTCTTGGAAATGCAACATAACCGAACTCCACGCGGGCGAAGCTGCGGGCGGAAAGCTAGTAACAAAACTATATTTGTTACTTAGGTAAAAATAAAATATCTTTTTTTACCTACTAACATACGGTTGGCTTAATTTGCATATAACATAGGTGCGTACAAGAGGAATCTGGACGCGTGCCAAAGTTAGCGAGACCTTCATTATATGTATGACACCATATGTTTAAGTCCCCACATTCTTTATGTTTTTGATCCACAGACACATGATTGGCTCACACACACACACACACACAAGATACAAGTGTGCGTAACTTGTTTGACAACATGCCTTTAAGATAGCTCGCAATTTATTAAACTAGCCTTTCAATGTGACTTCGCTTTGTAGATAAATGAAATAGATATATTTAAGTCTATATATTAGGCAAACAATTAATAGATAGACAAATAGCAAATAAAATGAGATCTAAGACTTTCGCGAGTATTCATTTAAATGAAACTAATGTTTTTGATCACGGTTGCAGAAAAGTAACCGAAACGACGAGAATATGTAGTTAAAATATAAGTATAATCCGAAAAATATTAGTTTCATTTAAATAAAATATAGTATTACGCATTTTGATACATATTATTTCCACATCTGATTTTTTCACTAAAAATACATACACTTGAAACAATTTCTCACATAATTCATAATATTCTGTTGTTACGTATTAATCATACAAGTAAGAAAGAGAAAATAATTTATGCAACGCGTATAATAGGAGAAAATTGTAGTTCTTATTATACCCCATATACGGATCAATGAGAGTACATTCATGACCAGATTGTCTTATTCTGAATAATGTATTTGTATCTTCTTCTTTTACCTGGCAATTTCCCAGCTTTAGCCAGGGTCTGCCTTACATGTTGTAAATAGTTTAGGCTAATTGTGTTTATGACCGACCGCCTGCCTCACATCAACCCTCTTTTTGGGAATGCTTTAATCAGTGATGTCTAAATACTATTAGAAAGTACATATGACTCGGAAAAATCACATTGGTACTTGCCCGGGCCAAGATCGAACCAAGATCGTTCACGAAAGGCAGGCCCTATAACCACTAGGCCACCACTGACTTCCAATTAATATATTTATATATAAAGTTTTAATTTGCGAAATATATATATGTAGATATAAGAATAGTATATTTATGTTACATATAGACGAATTGTCGGTACTCGAATATAACAAACTAATTTATTCAAGTTCAACAGTATAATAGAAATGTTATTATGTTTGACATTTCCTGATATTATACATGTGTTTGTGATATTATTTGATATATACACACACACACACACACACACACACACACACACACACACACACACACACACACACACACACACACACATTTATATAAATACACATATGTGTGTGTGTGTTAGTGTGTATGTACTTATTTGTCAATTTATTGTAGGTATTCTGGTGTATTTTATAATGAAATTATATCATATAATTCTACTCCATTTAAACTGTGACCGTGTTAAATTGTTCTCACAATATTTTCTTATACGAATTATTGGGATCATATAATAATATTACGTTATTTACTGCAATGGACAATTAAATGTTCATATTACGTATATCCAGCCTTAATGAAGAAATACATACATGAAGTAAACGGTGATATATGTTTATTTAAATTCTAAAGAAGTAAATACATATATAAATAAATAAAATAGCATCCGGATAATATATCTACAAATTAAAATAAAATTCAAATTAATTAAGATAATTAGTGTTTGATAATATAGAAATATTACTGAATACATAATAGCACTAACAATATTAAATTTATATAAAAAAAAAACTTTATTTTAATTCGTAATATTAGTTAGTTTCGTTCATTCGTAAATGCATTATTTCATTATGAAGTGAAACAGCTGTTTTTGTACGAGTACTTGATAAATCTAACATTTGTGAATCCGCTGAATCATTCTAAAACACCCTAATTACAATTGATTCATTTTGGACAGCAATTTACAAATAACTACAAAGGTTTTTCTTAACTAAGTATAACTCCCAAAATTAATTATATTGATACATAATTTCGTTTTTGATATTTCAGAATATTTTTATGCAATGAGCACATTAAACCAGTTTTTAATGAATAATTATGAAAATTTGGTATTTCCAGTAAATAAATTTAAATAATAAAATTATGATATGATCGATAGAATATTTTATTGGAAAATTTTATCACCTGTATATATTATAATTATTTAAGTTTTTTGTATAACCCACATCATGCATTTTAATAAAATTACAAAATTGTTAATATGAATTCAAATTATTGAACACGAGTTCAGCGTTTGATAAACAAATTAACTTTCATACGTAATATATGCTTTCTGACCATTCTTTAATAGCATTACTGTATACAATAATGCTATTGAAGAATGGTCAATGATATAGTTTCGAAAACACTTCAAAAGTGGCTCGGGAAAGTGAAGACTGAAAATTTTCACCATCGAGACCCATTCTACATTTTCTAAAACAATAAATATTTGTAACTAATATGTAATTTCTATTTTAAATGTAAAACTATCTGTGTTTCTAATAAATTTGTCTTCTTAAATAGTGCAACAGATGTTTTCTACAACTCATTGGCAAATTTCCATAGCTTTTAATACAAGGAAATAAGGAATAAATTGCTTTAAACATTAGATATCCTTAACTGGATTTAATAAAATCATCTAACAGAATATAACACTTATAAAATACATCATAATCCCATGGAATCTTCAAGCCATAATGACTCTTAATTTGTTCTTAGATTCAAAATCAATTTACCCATAATCCCGTGGCAGGTATTGCTTAAATGGGATTTCGGTTATAATTCTCAGGTAGATAAGAATTATCGTGTATCCGATAGCAACAACATTCCGCAAGCATGACGCCAACACAAGTTGACCAGTACTGCAATAACTTGTACACATTTTCCACTATATATGTACTTACATTTTATCTGTCTTAACAATTAGCAGATTTATCTCTATATAATATATTAGCTTTCCGCCCGCAGCTTCACCCGAGTGGAGTTCGGTTATATCGCGTTTCCAAGACAACTTTACAAAAATTTGGGATAAAAACTATTCTATGTTCTTTTTCAAGGTCAACTCTATCTCTGTACCAAATTTCATTAAAATCAGTTCAGTAGTTTAGGCGTGAAAGCGTAACAGACAGACAGATAAACAGACAGAAAGACAGAGTTACTTTCGCATTTATAATATTAGTAGGATCTACTATTAAGTTTTTCATTACTGTATAAAGTTACTCGTAAGTAATCAAAATCTGGCTTGCTTGAAGCAAATGCCTTTCAAATACTGACGTTATAAACATAAGGGTAGCTCAGAATATTCTGTATTGATGCTAAAATCCATTTTTCATTAAAAAAATATAAGAAATCTTGCAAGAAATACGAATAATAACGACTTTAATGCCAACTGCCTAAAGGAAAAATATAAAAAGTAATTGCAAACGATTCCTAAAACCGCTTTCTCTAATCATTCAGTAAGGGATTTATTCGTTTTTTTGATTTTTGGGTACTAGTCAAGCGTACCATGGTACATAATAAGAATGTATTACTTTATTTAAAAATAAATATAGTTTTCTTTTCAAATTACCATAAGGCCGTACAAGAACAAAAAATAAAATCTTGTTTATAATGTGGCCAAAACAACGAAGTTATTTGTGTAGCCAAAAATAAAAATAAAATAGATTTTAACTTAGACTCAAAGAGTATTTAAGAAACTTCTAGTTTTCCGATAAAATCGACTTAACAAGTCCAGCGTACAGTTTTAAATGTATTAGATTTTATTGATAAATCTTAGAAAATCTATATAATGAAGATTATTCCAAAAATATTACAAAACAATTCTATTCCAACATCACAAATATTTTTAAATTTTAGTTAACAAACCCTCTATTCATACACGTTTGCTTTAATTACCATAATCTGTATAATTAAACACGCACACTGTTACATAATTCTATAAACATGTATGTACGTGTGAAATATGCATGTGTGCGTTTGAAGCATTCAAGTAAAAATGTACTAGCGATTACAATTCGCCAACGATAAAATAGTTGAAGGATCTTTTTAACAACAGATATTCTACTAAATAATATGACATATCCATTATAATATAAACTACGGTTTTTATAGATGCTTTTTTATATAAGTAACTTGTACGTAAATCGTTGCATTGTTTTTTTGTCATATAAAAAATATGTATGAGTCACTGTTTCTAGAACTTAGTAATTAGCTACAGTAATAAAACTACTTGATTTACAATATGAAATAGTATAAAAACTGTAAAATATTTTGAAATTAATGAAGTACTCATGTATATTGTTAATACCGCTTTCTTTAAAATAATTAATTTGAGTGTATTACTTGTAGTAAAAAATTCAAAAGACAAACGTTTAAAAACTATGAGCTATGAGCCTAGCTAGTTCAAAATGTTCTTGGTACACGGATTGAGATATATTTTTAATATACTATTATATAACCACAAAATTAGGTTCACTATGAATAAATAGCGCGTTATATAAAAACAGCTCATTAAACGCAAATCAACTTGCTTCGTTTTCTTTTAAAGCACACCCACACATACATACATCAATAAACATGACACACACCCACACAATCGTAATCAAATGAACATTTTTTTTTTATAACTTTACCCTGACATAGTCCACGAAGGTTCTACATGTAATTAATTGAAACCATAGTCTGACTAATACGTATTATATTGTGATGAATTAAAAAAATACTAGTGCCTATGCCTCATATTTTCTACCTGAGTAAAGGTCGTATCAAATTCGTGCCATTGATACGCACAACGGAATGTAGAACCTGTTCTTTGGGTTACGAAATCTCAAATGACATACATACCAACCTACAAAATAACTATCAATTTTACTACTATATATACAATACCAACCTACAAAATACCTATCAATTTTGTACAATCGCATTCATGTGCAGGTTTTCATAAAAAATCTATATGCTGCAAATATATTTTTTATGATATAAAATTATCTTTAATATACCAATTATAGATTTATAATTGAACAGCACAATGCATTACCTATTAAATTTAATGAACCATTTTAACCAAAGTATAATATACGTGAAAGCGTTTAGTTTAAAATAATACCAAACGTTTATGTGATCATTATAATTTGAGGTGAGCTATTAAGTTTTTTTTCGTCTCATCACTTTCAATCTCAAAATTAAGAATACCTTTTTTAAAAAAAAGGAATGTGCATAAAAATGTATATGTTGACTTACATATATTTATATATATACTAAATTAATTATATAATTTATTATATATTATTTGTTGTTTATCGAAAGTGGAATACAAATACTTTCTCGGACATTTGAGTACAATATGCAGGAATGCGTCTAAGTCATGTTTGAGAAAACCATGGCGAGGGTTTAGAAATTACGTCCTGGTGTGTGATAGAGATGGATATATAGTATTGTTTGTGTGTGAAAGTGACGGAGGGAGAGCTGTGGTACCTGCTTTGCGCATCCAAATGAAGACAGAAGTAACCTACCCACTTTTGTTCTTGTATTTTAAATTCGCGACTTTATTAGTCTATTTTTAGTGTTTATAGATAATAACTTATTAAAAACTATTATAATATCTTTAGTAGGTAGTTTTTTTTTAACAGAAATCTGTCTATTTTTTATAAAATAGTCATAAAAAATGGATCTACTTCTATAAATGAAATAATGTTTCCGATTAAAAGTATATTAAATGCATTATCAGCAAACTATAAAGTAACATGAATTTAAACCGAGTGAAACAAAATTTTAGAACTTTTGCAGAAATCAAAAGTATTAATTTATTGGAAAATTTCGAAGTTTCATTATTTTTCTAAGTTTTCTATTAAGTTAAGTTAAATCCAGTACTTTTTAATATTCTAGGGTTGCGAGGTATTATTTTCACTTAAACAATAAAAATCTTCACATATTTAGACTATATACGTAAACGCTGAAAAATCACAGTACCAACAAAACATAAATTACTTACATTGTTTAGATTAAATAAAATTATCTATGAAAGGAATAAAACATTAACAAACTACAACGCTTCACATTTCATTTGTTATTTACCTTTATTCTATAAAAGTCATATGCATGTTTACTTCAGGTAATAATCTCAAGGAAGATATAATATATTGTCACAATGGCATATAGTCACGTTTAGTAAACAATAATGACAGCGGTTTCACGACTCAACGTAGTGACTACTATGTCGTGTTGACACCTTGATTAGTTCAACTGCTACAACAATTGAGCAACAAAGGCTTCAAAATATACGCTAAAATAACACACAATTGTATAGAAAGTTTCTTACAATTTTCTATACATGTACATTTCTGAATTTAAGTAGCTCAAAGTAGTTTGGAAGACTATTTTATACGTTAAAATCAGTCAATACTATATTAAATTGCAAAATCTTCAATCCATTTTGGTAATTACCTATATTAAGTTTAATTATTATTGATGCCAGGTATACCAAGAAAACAGAAGAATTATAGTTCTACATAATGAGTGATTTACAAATCGAATAATAGATGGCGCTGCGCAATGCTGGGTCGGGGGCTCCCCGGGGTAGGGCGTCTGACGCTACTGCGACCAGAGCTCTTGACGAATTTGACACATTAGCTGGTCTGCGACGAAGTACATATGCTCTAGAACACTTGGCTACCTTTACAGTGACGAGGGAAACTGGGATAGTATACCCAGCTGATGGCATGAGAAGATTACTACAACTAGAAAAGACTAACGGTAAAAGTTTAATAGAAAGTAAAAGTAGACGATATAAACAGTTACATCTGATTATTATTGAACGTAATAACAGTGAAAAATAATTTGATATTTTAATATAATGTAATGGTATAACATTTTATGTGCATGTTATGTAAAGTTTTTTAAAATATATTCTTTATTACACCAAATTTTAAATATAATTGATGCTAAAGAACAGATAAATATATAGCTAATTTAAAACCGTTTAAATTTTACGTATAATCAGTGTTGTCATTACATAAAAAAAATCAGACAATATATTTAAATGTCAACTGTTCATAAAACACACATGATTGACACAAAACACATGGAGTGTAAACTATAATATTATTCCAGGAATATGGAGCCAAAAGATGCAACTATCCTTAGAGGGACAATGGGTATTAGTAATGGATTACGAAACGGGGGTAAGTCAAAATAAAATATTGACATTATAAATAAAATATTAGTTAACCGTAATATTAAATAAGTATATATTTTATAATTCCAGTCCATAATGGAAAGGTTTCCAGCGTCGTGGGTGCATTCACCAACAGCATTCACATCTCCAGAGCCGGCTGAACTTTACAATAATGTGTTAGCATTTGTTGTTGAAGCGCCAGAATCTGGCGGCTCGCCAGGCGGTGCTAGGCGTGAGCTACACATCTTCCAATGTCACGATGTTGGAGCACAAGCGCTTGTAGAAGAACTAAATGCTCTCAAGTAAGGAAGCAAAATATATTCTTCCCATTTATGTGACTACCAGTAAAGACTACGTACTTTTTCCGTAATCCAAGTGTTAAACGTGGTGCTAAAAATTTAACCGAAACACAAGGATAAATTTGTAGAAATATTTCTAGTTAGAAATAAATGAGAGACAAATTTTGAAATCTTAAGAAAATTATCTAGAAATTAAACAAAAATCAAGAGTATTTTTATTAATATCATGGGCAATATTAAAAGCATATAATTTCGTTTTAACTGTCAATGAAATGATTTTATAAACTTTGTACAAAATGTTACTTATCTTATCATTTCGACACTTAGATCTTTTAAGATGAATACATTATCAAACAATACAATACTATTCAGTGATCGGGTTACAGTGGTCGTGTTAACTCAATGGAATGATATACAAAAATATACCATTTCCTTTACCAGTCTCCGCTTATAAATGGTGGGCTTTATTAAGAGTTTAGGAGTGTCTTAAATTTGTAAGTTTTTGAAATAGCCTATAATTTATAGGGGCGAAGGCGGCGGAGGCTCCGAGGGAGGAAGAGACTTCGTGATTGAACGAGAAAGAGAAAGGGAAAGAGAAAATGATTTAGACAGACCCAGACGTCAGGTATGTATGCACTACCAATATCTATCAATTGGCACATAGCTCTCAAAACAATATGATGAGTGTACTCTAAAATATGTAACTTATATATAAAGGTTTAATTTTCTTCCTATTTTATTAATCTATATATACAAGTCTTAAAATGAATTGTTCTAGAACAGCACTATCAGTCACCTACGTGTTTGTTTATCAATTTTTTGATAAGCATTCACAATCGATTGTTTTGATAGTGAGTTGATTAAATTCCGATCTGTAGTTAGAGTTTTATGAAGCATTGAATTTTATTATACTTACCTAATATAATATTATTTTTTTTAGATTTTATTCTGTCATAGGTATATATTATTTATTTATAGGTAAATATATATTATATTTGAATACAATTAAAAATATATGGCACCTACATATGGAAAAGTATTTAATAATTTATAATAACTCTGGTAAGCCAAACAATCTCAATTTGATGAAAATAATTAAAAAACCATTTTCATTGTTTAAATTATGATATAACTTAATATTTCAACAATTTATGATAAATTAAACGCATTGAAAGTATATTCATCATAAATATATACAAAATAATTAAGGCTATTAATAATTATTTCCTGAATATATGGATAAAGTTATATCAATTATTTTACTGTAATATATTTTATACATAATAAAACAATAAATGAGTTATAAATACTTCCATGTAAGATAATATAATTATACAATAGTAATCAACCAAAATAACACATTTATAAAAAAAAAGTCCCAGCCTGTCAAAAAATATTGATTACGTTGACAGTTGTCCGTTATCAGTGATAACAGAGATAGTAGTTCTGAATTTTGACACTCGCGTGGTGAACGGCATAGCGATGCCACAATACCAAACGCTTACACGACAACAATGGGAGGCCGTACTTGTTGTAAGCGACTAGAATCACATAGGATTAATGTTAAAACATAAAATAGATTAATAACTAAGTATAATCTTTCTTCCAGCAAATGTCCGCGCAACTAGGCCGCGGAGATCGACCGGAGCGTGATCGTGGAGGTTCGGCTGGTGAGCGTGATGATGCTTCATCTACAGGCTCTGAACGACTGTACGAGCAAGACATCGCGATCCTCAATAGATGCTTCGACGACATAGAGAAGTTTATCGCGAGGCTGCAACATGCTGCGGCAGCGTCTAGAGAACTTGAGAGAAGACGGAGATCAAGGGGAGGAAAGAGGAGCGCTGGGACTGGTGAAGGAATGCTAGCACTTAGAACTCGGCCTCCACCTGAAAGAGATTTCGTTGATGTACTCCAAAAGTTTAAACTATCCTTCAATCTTCTCGCCCGTTTGCGAGCACACATACATGACCCTAATGCTCCAGAATTAGTGCACTTCCTCTTCACACCATTAGCTCTGATAGTGGATGCAGCACAAGATGTCGCAGATGGTCGTCTGCCAGCACGTGTAGTTCAGCCACTGCTTACTCGAGATGCACTCAATCTACTCGCCAACTGCGTAACCAGCAAAGAAACTGAGCTATGGCATTCACTGGGTGATGCTTGGCTTATTCCCAGGTAAAGAATACGTTCTTTATTTATAAATCAAATTACAGTTATATACAAAATACATTAAACTTTGAAAATAATATATTTAATACTAGAAAAATACTTTTTTTACCAAAAACAGGTGTATAGTATCATACATTCCAACACGTATTTATCAATAAAAACATTAATTGCCAATGTCCATTTAAGATTACACTTAACATTCTAGTAATTTAAATTATCGCTACTTCATACATTTCTTTTTAATTTGGATATTATCACTTAATTTATTCCGATTCTTTCCATATTTCTGAGTAATCATTTGATAAATATTATCAATATGAGAGAAATCCTAATTGATTTAGTTATTTAACTGATATGTCGGAATTATTAACGCAATGATTCATATTACATAGTTGCAACTAATATGGAAGTTGTTTATTAATCGTTATAAAATTGTCTCCTATTTTCAGAGAGCAATGGAAAACGACAATTCCTCCTTACCAGCCGGTGTTTATGGACGGCTGGTCTCCAGATTACCAAGTGGACGACCAACCATTGCGACGGTAAGCTTCTACTCAAATTATTCCTTGATATTTCATTTCCATATCTGGTGGTGCAACGCTTTGCATGTCATTTCAAACACTATCATGTATGTTTGGAAACGAAGCAATATCCATTAAATGTACCTATATGTCATATCAAACATGTTCTTTAACTGGGCGGGAGGCGCTTCCGGGTAAAATTTACCACATAGTGCATACTTTCGAAAATATTTATTTTTGTAAGTAATTTTATGCAGCACCGTTTTAGATACCTTTCGATATATGTTCGACAGTTCGACTAATAAAGAAAATCGTGAGATTACTTGAAGGTGTTGGCTGTGTCTCTTGTATTGCCACAAATTAAGTGTAAATCTACCATCATAAACCTGCCTACATTCATTTATGATTATGTTTAAAAATTACATACCTATTATACCAAGCGTTATTAGTTTCCAACTATCTTGTTTAATTGAAAATGTAACACAATATAATATAAAAATTGGTTATATTTAATTATCTATAAAATAACTCTAGTTCTTACATTAATATTATTGTGGTATTTTTTACCCAGTAGCGACAGTTAGTGTTGGTATATGGGGTGCGCCTCCCGCCGAGTTAATACACTATCAGCTTGTCCCATTCATGTGTTCGTTATATTATCCATGTGCTAAGAGCATCTCCAAGAAGAAGTGAGGCTGGAAGAGGTGGAACAGGTGGATTAGAAGAAGGAATCAGGGAAGGAGCAGACAGGGCCGACGGTTACGGGTATGAAAGGGAAGAACCTGACCTATACGGTGAACAATACACTCCTTACTCTAGGTAAAGATATCATATCACATCATATCATTGGCAAAATATTTAAAAATTTCGTTCATAAATTGCCTTGTGTGTTATGCTTCAATATTGTCTAAATTTCTTACGATGAGTATATAAATATATTTTAATTTCTGACCTATATTGTTTCCAGAAATCAACGTACTCTGACCCGAGAAGATTCTGGATCAGCAGCTTCCTCTCCGGAACGCGAACCACCATATAGACCAGACAGAGATGAAGGTAAGAGTCATAATTCTTTACTATTTTACAACTGTATGGGTAACTGTATATTGCTTGCTCACGTGTCAGTTCTACCTGTAACCTTGTAATACTGGCAAATAGTGAAAAAACTAAAATATTGTTTACAAGGAAATTCTGTAAGACCTTTTCCATCCATCTACCAGCCAATACAATGAATGTGTTTTAGATGGGCATAGGCCTCTCCAAAGACGAGAGAATTTCACTAGACCTTTCCGATCGTAACGTCGTGTCCTCTTTTTCTTATATAAATTCTTATTATTTATTAGTTTCTTCTCCATTTAGACTATGATTATATCATATTTAACTTTTTCTTAATGTGTATGTTTACTAATGTTATAAAGAGACGCAGTTTGATCTATTGCACGTTTGTTTACACATATAATCGTTAAACATTGACAAAGTCTATACTTAAGTGAAAAAGACAATTTCTGTCAGAAGTCATTATTTCATACGGAAGAAGTTCCGGGCAAAAACTCGTATATATATATTCATTACTATGGAATTATTTATTTGCAGATGAACTAGGTGAAGCTTGGGCTCGTGGGGTAGCGGCCCGCGGCGGACGTGTAGTTCGCGTCACATACCCACGCACCGCTAATAATGACAAAGAGCTGACTGTTGTTCGTGGGGAATACCTTGAGGTATTGTACATATATGAAACTATACATAAGAATTGTTATGTACATACATATGAGTATCCATAATTCTTGGACAATACCGCTTATGCTATACGTAACTGTTAGTGGCTGTTTTACTTAAATTTCAATTAAGAAATCATATCTCAAAATAATAAGTACGATATTTTCCATACCATAACTTCTTTACCGATGTTCGTTCCTTTAGATTGAATATCGGTTATGAAAGCTAAACCTATACACCATACTCCAATTTCTCAAATTAATCTGTTAAAATTCTTTGTAGCAACTTTAACTAATCTTCTTATGCTATGAAAATATAGGTGCTAGATGATTCTCGCAAGTGGTGGAAGGCGCGCAATCGTCGTGGTCAAACTGCCCATGTGCCGCACACTATAGTAGCACCCGCCATCTCACCGCCTGGCTCTCCGGCACCTGATGCTCTGCTTTATCCCAATCCTATCTACACGCACTATCAAGTAAGTAACACTTCTATCCAATCTTGATTAACATAATTATGTAGACTTCATTTGAGTATTTACATTGGATTCAATATAGAAATCGGAAACAAAAGGATCAGCCTAGTCCAAGTGCAAATTCCGTTGTTTTTTTTATTTAAGGATCATTAACTCATATAAAGCTTGGCAAAATTTTTGCTAAACAAATTCAATTTAATAGCGATGAAAGTAAGTGATCTAAAAACTGGAAGCGTATTATTTACAAACGTCATCAGCATCATATATAGATCAAAGATGGCACTATTTTATATGACCAAGAATATATATCTACCTGAGATACTAATTACTGCTACTGATAATAATACTTGTTTTCTTTATCAGGAAGGTGGCAGAGGTTCCGGTGGCAGTAGTCCAACGGGTCAACCTGGTAGGGGCGCGGGGAGTGGGGCGGCTGGCGCGGACTGGGTCCGACGCGAACGCCTCGGAAAGAAGGGCGAGTTCCGATACTTCTAAGCTTAACATGAACACAGAATATGGAATTTTATTCCATGATCTGTTAACATGTCAAGCTAATCTTGGACCTACCAAAGCGCTAAACGCACGTGCTGGAATGCTTAGTCATATTTAACGATATAAGATATTTATTTCAATTCTGTAAATCAGTATCGGAATTCGCTCTGTTTGTGTGTGCGGGTTGTGACTTGTGTTTATGTGTGTGCGCTGTTACAAACAGTGTCTACCCTGCATTATTTATATTGTTTCAAATGGTAAATCTTTATCGCTACCATATTGAAGCTTCATTTATACCGTTTCTTTCCTCTTTTGTGGCTTCTTATTCACTATATGGATAATTCCAAAAATTATATCTTCATATGATACAGTAATTTCCAAGTCTGATATTATCGATGTAAGTTATGTGTATTGAGATGAGAGAACAATGATTAATATATTTAAATATTTGTTTTAATATTGAACAGAGTTTATTTACGTCCACTGTACTATTTGGCTGAAAATTTTTGGAATATTTTGTGAATCGTCTAAACGAGTGAGCTAACAATGTATGTTAAACAAAATATATATATACTTAAACAGACAATAATTAAATGTAGAAAAAAAAATCACACGGTGGCGCCACTCGCTTAAAAAGCTATGTTTATCATTTTATTACTTTAAATAAATTTTTACAAAACTTATTCTATTTTCTATTTTCATTAGCCCCTCTTTTCTGATAACCAATTTTTGACGCTGAGAGATCTAAATTAATCGTCTTAATTAATTTTATCATTGACGTTCATACTTAAAAAGGAAGAAAAAATATCTTCTCATAGTTTTTCCTATTCTCAATGTGTTTGTGCTTTTGCTTCTTCGTAATTCGTAAGTGTGTCGCAGTGTTTTTAAATGGGTAAGTGTGCTTATGGGTTTCGTTGTTTAATACAATAATGTATTCTGATTTGTATAATTTATTCTAACTATTAAGAGTTTTCAAAGTAATAAGATAATTTCATCTGTGAGATGAATCTAAAATTTGGAAGAAGAATACTTTATTTAAAAAATTTGATATTGCTCTATAAGTATCGAAAATACAGACACTCTATATTATAGAGCCGGAACCTCGAAAGCCTGAGAAGGCTGTACCCCCTCCCCCTCCACCCCCGCCGCCTCCACCAGAGCCTCCAACACCAGCGCCTGTGATACCAGCTAAAACTGATACCATGAAATGTAAGTATGGCTCAAGAACTACGCTATTTCCATCTCATAATACTGGCAATTTCAGGGAATCGCCGAATGTATAAAATAATTATATTGTATTTATAATCTGGGCCTTTTTTATTCATATTCTATGCCTGTGTCAAAAATATCGCCATGTGTAGATAAACTGCTACCGGTACATCAAAAATGGTTAAAGGCAATTGTTTATTTCGTGAAATATCTTTAAAATATTATATTTTACGCAAAAAAATTAAACGATACATAACAATTAAGACCATATCTTAATATAGATGAATTACATGTCACGTTATTTGTCCGCGATGGATTCCTAAACAATTTAACGATATCTATTCTTTTAACACAATTTATAAACTTCACTCTGCGATATGTATACCAGGACGAAGTCGCGGGCAAAAACTAGTATTATGTAACTCAGGGTTTTATTCACAAAAATATTTTTGCACAACATTTTTTAGCCACGAAATCAGCTATAAGCACAAGCAGCGGTCTGCATGAGGAGTTGAAGATGGTTCTGCCTCAGATCACACAACGACGTCTTGATATAAAGAAGACACCAGACATATTTATTCATCAGGTATTGTTTACACTCTTGTACATTTTAGGACATCTTGAATTTGCTCTAATCGTTAAAACATTTGCTCTATTCAAATAAAGTTGTGTAAAATGTATGTGTATAAAATAATGTTAAAATCACTTACGACATTGCAAAAAGAATTAAACATAACATCAGTCACAAATACCCAATATATTTAAGGCATGATACTTAAAATTCTTTAATAATTCTCCAATGCACAGAAATCCAATCCTGAAGAGGTAGTCCAATGGCTTGAGGCTAAAGGCTTCAGTAGCACAGCTCAGAAGCAGCTACGTGTGTCTGGTCATCAATTATTTGCTTTATCCAGAAGCCAATTGGAACGAGTGGTAGGAGCTGATGAAGGGAAGCGATTATACAGTCAGATATTGGTTCAAAGAAATGTATCTGGGGTGAGCACTAAGAACTTGATAAACAAAATGAGATTTAAGATCTTCTCGAGTAGTCATAGAAATGAAACTAATGTGTTTCGTATTAACTATGCATTGTATCCGAAAAAGTATTTGTTTTGTTGGATTTACACATTCTTAATGAAATGCTGATGTCATTGACTTATATTTTTCTCTAATCATAAGAGTTACACTCCAAAGTGTCTGGTTTTTCTGCAGAGCTATAAATTGCAAATAGCATTTTTGTTTTGCTATGACTTTTAATGCACTCTAATCAGTAAGTTCTAAAATTGGGTAATTTATGATCAATACATTAATTTATTTGATTCTTTACTAAAATAATAATATTAATCTGGTGTTACACGACCAGTAATAAGAAAAACTTAGCTACTTAGCCTTACTTCACGCAAGAATTTTCAGTTTTATCAGACTCAAAGTAGCATTATCGATTAATTGAAACCATATTTATTCTGTTGGTTGAACCAGTACAAGACGACATCCGCCTCCGAGCTAGCGAGCATTCTGCGGAAAGTCCGCGAGAAAGTAGAAGTATCCTGATTGACGAAGAACAAAAAGAGCCTACGGACAAGTTAATTAATTATTTGAGAAGTTCCTCTTACTGCTAATACTATCTATTTTATATATTAAGATTAGATTATATATTATCTTTATTATCGCAAAGAGGATATTATTATGTGAATTAAAGTATTTCTAATCAGAAGTATTCAACTATATTATCTTTAGTTTATTAGTTTTAGGCTAACAACCAAATTGATTCATGACATATTTTTTTATCTTTAAAAAACATTAATTGTTATTATCTTTAAAATACTTAAATAAAAAATTCAATAGCAATTCTTTTTAACAAGATATTTTAGGAATTATAGAATTTATTGTACATTAATTGTTTTATTTGGTATAACTACTTCTTATTTAAAATGCCTTTTTACGATTAATTTCAATTAATAAGCTGTTCTAGATATAATTTTTCATATAAAAAATAAAAAATATATATATTTATAAATATTTTTATTACAACTCGTCTTAAAAATACAAAACATTAATATGGAATATGGAATAAAGCTGAAAAATTCATTATATAAATAAAATATCATCAACATTGTTAAAATAAAATAAAATACATATTCCTAATGTACAACCTAAAAAAATTTGTATGTAAAAACATATTTTTTAGACCTATGTATACATTTTGCCTATAATTATTTTCGAGACATCTTAATATACGTTTCATAACTGGAAAGTCTTTCGTTTCTTTAATATCTATTTCTACCCGACCCTGAAAAATTCCCTAAAAAATATGTATATATATTATCATCTAATTTAACATCACAATCAGATATATGCCGCCATCTTTTGTAAGTCAAAACTTTTTTATACACAATGTATAACATATAAATCAAAACTTTTTATACACCATGTACATAGGTATAACATTCGTTCTACCTCTGTATCAAACTTACAAGCTTCGACTTCAAGACGGCGCGATAATTCTTCATAACTAAACTAATGTATATGGCACTATATTTTACTTAAAATAAGATTAATCTAATTACATTACCTAAATGCATTACATAGAAACTCGTCCGGCGAGCGCTACAATCAAACAGTCATACAAATATATTTGAAAATACATTATTTGATATTTTCATATAATTTTACTATAATAATTTATCAATATCAGTTTAATATCTAGAGGATAGCTTCGTTTTGTATATAAGATATGGTTAAGGTGATCGAGCGGCGACCCTGGCTGCAATAGCTGCTGTTAAAGCACTGCCTTTTCCACTGCCGTCTTCAGCACCAAGAAGAGTGAACTGAAATTACGTTAGTTAATTAAAGTATATATACATATATGTATTCATTATCATCATCATCATCAGCCTATCAGAGCCTACTGCTAAGTAAAGACTTCTTTCTCACATGGAGAAGGTTTGAGCATTAATCACCACGCTTGCTCAAGACAGATTGGTGATTTCAAACTTATAATTTGATTATTGATGTTTTCCTTCATCTGTCAGTGATGTCTAAATACTCTTAGACAGTTCAAATGACTCGGAAAAATCACATTGGTACTTGCCAGGTTTCGAACCCGGCCCTCATGCATGAGAGAAGTCGAACCTCTTGGCCACAAGGACTTTTTTATAAAAATTAGAAATAAATAAAGCTATGATTATCGGATATACTAATCGTTTTTTATTATTCATAATGACATATTCCTGACGTTTCAGTTACCATGCAACAACTGTGATCATGAACAGACGAGATTAATGTTTTATTTAAATGAATATATTTAACAATCGTGCTTATCAGTAAAAGAGTAAAAATCAAAATCGAGTGCATCTTGCCATAGTAATTTAAATAGAAATATATATAATATATATTTACCTTGTGATGGGGGGCAAGTAACTCAATATATCGCTCCATCAATCCACGAATACGAGGGTGTCGTTTGAAAACTGAGCCATCAACAGCGACACTCACGTGCGGGCGATTCATACGAAGCAATAACGTCGCTATACCTGATATAAAAATTAAACACATGATTAACATTACAAGAAAATACTCACATAATGAAAACAGACCAAAGAGATTATTCATTTATGTTGTTCTCAACTATATTGCTTTTCTTCCCTACTAATATTATAAATGCGAAAGTAACTCTGTCTGTCTGTCTGTTTGTTATGCTTTCACGCCTAAACTACAGAACTGACTTTAATGAAATTTGGTACAGAGATAGAGTTGACCTTGAGAAAAGACTTAGGATAGTTTGAATCCCAGATTTTTGGAAGGTTTTCTTGGAAACGCGATATAACCGAAATCCACGCGGGCGAGGCTGCGGGCGGAAAGCTAGTTCTTATATATGAGTAAAGTTAAAGTTCTTTATGTACATACAAACAGAAACAAGTTGCGCAGCGCGATTTGATATAACTCGAGCAACGTGTTGCGCGACTAACGCATCAGCACGTGACATGCGCACGCCGCAAGCTGCAGTTAATGTTTTAGCTGTTTTTGACCATGCACCTGTCACGTTCTCTCTGAAAAGGAATTATATTTATTTGTATAAGAATTATAAACCTTGAATCTGCTGTGGCTTAGTCTAGTCTAAGTTTCACAATTTGTAAGTCTTTACGGTGACGCTGTTGCTAGCAGCATTTATACATACATAACAAAAAACATTGAGTAGACTTTACTGGGATGCAGTATGTAAGACTATAATATGTAAAACGATATTATTATTTATGATAAAGTTAATTGGTAGTTTAAACACAATTAATTCATCGATCATGAAGTCAAAAGAAAAGATTTTTTTTGCTTAAGCCAATATTGAGCTTGAAATTGTCTTAGTTTTCAAAGTAAATTCATTTATTATATGTGCAACTGATGTTAATTATATATGTATTTAGAAGAGTACGATACTATTTCCCAAAAACCAACGATCATGCAATTAACGATATGGATTTAACATATTTTTTGTCTTATACCAAAACTTATTACACAAAATCAAAATAGTTTTAGTTGAATTATATATTCTTATTTTTATTTAAGAAAAACTACGATAAATATATATACATTTTATAAACAAATACTCACTCTTCAAACATGCTAAGATCTGACGAGGCCAAAGAACCTTTCGCTGGCGGTGCAGGGAAAAGACGGTCGTGAGCTAGTCCGCTTAATACGGCACATAATAAGTCACCTATATACTTTCCACCGATGTACTTTTCAAAACTGTAAAACAAAGGATAAGTTACAATATTATAAAAGCAAAGAAGGTTTTTATACCAACTAATGAATATAGACCAAATTGCTATCCTCAAATATAAAATGTGTTCCGATAAAACCAATTAAACAAATCGTTATATCTAAAAGAAATGTGCAGACGAAGTCAGTCAACCACAAGCTTTCAATAGATTCATTGCCAACAAGAACAAAAAATTTACTTAAATTAATAACAAGATGAAACTAATATTTGTGGATTTACGACGCGATTTTTTATTTTTTAACTATAAACTACATACTCCCGACGTTTCGGTAGCTTGTAGACGAGATGTCTCTGCCCGTGATCACGGTTATTGTAAAGTAACCGAAACTTCGGGAGTTTGTAGTTTATAGTCAAAAATAAAAAAATGCGTAGTAAATACGTAAACATTAGTTTCATTTAAATGACTACTCGCGAAAATCTTGGATATCATTAAGACAAAGATAATGAGATCTAAAACTTTCGCGAATATTTAAATGAAACTAATAATTTAAATATTATATGTACTACGCGTATGTTATTACTTTAAAAACGACACACTCCCGAAGTTTCGGTTACTTTTCAGCAACTGTGATTACGATAGTATAAATAAAACTATTAATTTAATTTAAAAACCAGATCTCTAATAACTCTCCCTAATAACTATATACTTACGTGAAAGATGCAGCCAGTAAAGAATTATCATCCACGACTTTATCGAAATCTGTTCTCAGGAAGGAAAGGCATCCATTGTCACCGAAGGCTCCCCATTCAATATCAACACACACGTCTTGTACTCGGTCGTGTTTAGCTTCCCAGTGTTGAACTCTCTTCGCTTGCTCCATATAACAACCGTTTGAACCGGTGCCCATTATCACACCAATCTATAACATTTCGTATTAATTAATTACTTTTTTGCCAATGAATTTTGCTTGAATGTCAGAAATGTTAGCCTATTTTGGACGTATTTGTTCGGTATGAAAAAACAATGCAAGAAATCAATTATCGTTTATACTCGTATCTTTAGGTATATATATAATTCTTCTGTGAGTGTGTATGTCACTGTACTTCTCTCAAACGACTGGACCCATTTTGCTGAAATTTTTTTGTGTGTTCAAGGGGATCTGGGAATGGTTTAGATTCACAATTTTGACCGCTGGACAATGTTTTTTTAATTAATTTTTAATTTATTAGTAGTTGTTGAAACAAACGTTTTTTTTTGACATTAGATTTGACAACTAACTAATATGTCAATCATTCTGTCGCACTTCAAAACACGTAGATTTATGGCTTTAATAGGTAAACTCCAAAAATATAAATAAAAAAACGTAACAGATATTACTTGATTATAGGGCGATACGAAGTTCGCCGGGTCTTCTAGTAATTAAATAAATTTTTCCCTACATTAGTGTATCAGGCTTAACAAATTCTCAGACATGTCGTAATATAAAGAAAATATCTATTAGTCAACAATTCTTACGGCAACATCAGGATCCATATGAGCACCAGCGACAAGTGTGCCAGTTGTATCATTCAGCAGTACTTGAACCGTTACTTTCAATCCACGGTCCCGCAGACAGCGCTGCAGCAGGGCAGCAACATCCACCCGCTCCATACCACCGCACTTGAAGCTCTTGGTCCATGTAATCAACTCGCCAGATGAAATCGAGTGCTGTTTCATCGGAAACGAGAAGGTGAAACCTGAAAAAAATATAAGTATATTTATTTAATGACAGTCAATGTAAAAAAAAAAAATTATGTGTTAAACTAATTATTAAATTTTGTCTTTCCATAGTAAGTCTATGCATATATACAGGGTGACTGGTGAATTACTATCAATATTTAAGGAGCATACTCGGTACATCATTCTCATTCGAATTATGTAAAAAAAAACAGGTTCTTAATTTTTGACCAAATTTCCGTATAAATAAATAAAGTGTGGACACGTTCCAAGTGTTCCAAGTGTGGACGCGTGCGGCGGCGTGCTGATACAACACTACGCCGCCGCACGCGTTTGTGTGTGTGTGTGTACGTATACCTAATCTGTAGGGTGTTGACACGATGCGTAATTAATTACATAACTTTTGGTTAACTTTACTTAGAAGTTTATTAATATTTATGTTATATTAATTTTTATTGTGTCATATATGATCGTCAAATATCACGTCCTCAAGTATCGATAGTAATTCACCAGTCACCCTGTATATTCTACATGTAAATCTATATCTGTATCTGTGACAGCTCAATAAATGCTCTGTCTCTGTGATTCTGTGTTACAACAAGTGTAGTTTATTTTCACCAAATCTTCTTTATTTAATAATAAAGTTATCAGGTTATGGGCCCAATCAAACTCTCAATTCCTGTTCAGTGTAGTATAGTATAAAATTAAAGTTATCATTATGAATAAACAGAAAGTAATAAAGTATTCTAAAAACCTTAAGAACAATATGTGTATTGTGTCATGTAATTGATGATAATCTTACCGAGCGAAAAGACGTCATTTTCCATGTTCTCCGAAGTCAAAAAGTCCAGAACACTGTCAGCAAGAAAATTAAAGAGATCTTCACCAGGGCCGAGTCGTAACGCGTCACTAGTAAAATAAAATATTTGAAACATTAAGACCTATACAATATTGTGTACACACATACACTCATACTTTCTTCATAATAAATCATAAATTTCATTAACCAACTCTCATATCCAGAGGAAAAACCAGTTACGATTTCTAGTGTTTATTTTAATTTCGTGAAAGTAGTCAAGTTTGTTATACGAGTATTAATAATTTTGCACTAGTCTCTGACCGCTGAGGTAGATTTAGGGATGATTGTTTGGTAATAATTATTTAAAAATTAGTAACGGAAATTTTGTAAATTTTTGTGTCAAAATTTTAAAAAGTCCTAACGAGACAAATAGACGTAAAATCGGTTCCAAAACAGATATTTTTTTATATTTAAAATTATCTAAATATAAACTTCTATTTCTACCTGATATGATAATGCTTAACGTCCTCTCGCACAAGTTTACCAGCGCGAAGCTCCAGCAGGAGTACTCTAAAATTAGTGCCTCCAAGATCCAAAGCCAAGAAAACCCCTTCCTCTGCAATTAAATAACCACGTTTATATTTAAGACGGAACTTCTTAACAACGGAACTTCTTATTCAATGGATTCATCGTGCGGATGCCGGGTCCATCGCGTTGCAGGGAGAGGAGCTTCAACGGTGCCTGGGACTTGCGATCCAGGTGTAAGTTTAAGTGCCTATTTAAAGCACGTTAAATGCTCACCTCCACCGTCCAAGCTCCTCTCCCTACCAATCCTATTTCATATTTCAACAAACGAATTGAATATACAAATTAAGAATTCTTCTAAATATATCTACAATTTCGATTGCATCAGATTTCAATGATGTATCGGGACTCCTGTCAATATAGTCAATAGTATAAAAATTTAAAATTAAGTCCCAAATGTGAATTATATTTGCAATTCATATTCGATTACGTTGGGTATAAGAAAGGACTCCATTAAATATTTCAATGCTAGTCTCTTGACACCGTTTTATAAATTTTATCCAATGTATAAAAGAATAGTTTATATTTAAAACAGTCCAATTATATTCTTTATATATTAAAGAAAGTCTTGTTAAAATTGGTACAGAGATAGCTTAGAACCCGATAAACGACATAGAATACTTTTCATGCTATCGACAAAAATGAAATCAAATAAAATGACAAAACCAAAAATCTTCTTATTTACTGCTTTTAGGTAGGAACAGAGTTATGGAATAGCTATACATTTCTTCAATTGAAAGTAATTTAGACGAAGTCGAGGTAAAAAGCTAGTAGTATATATATATTTAGATAGCACTCTACTCACCAGTTCCATCGGGTAGCTCTGGAACATATGTGTTCTCCATCTGTAGACTGGAAGGACGTTCTTTTAATCCATTCTCTATTTCTCTGGCGAACACTTCGCCAACTCGCCTCAATGTGTTACCACAAAGAATCATTTTGGACAAACGGTTTTCAATCTGCAATATCAAAGTTTTTCTCATTTTAAACCAATAATAGAATACAATTAATATATCAGAGTTATACAGTTGTAGTTATTTAATCTGAAACCCTAATCCTAGTTTCAAACCTCAAGTTCTCAACTCGTAGTCGTCTATGAAATTTGGTTACTCAAATGTTTTTTTCTTCTACCTACATTAAGATTTTTACATTACATTAAGATACTTTCTAGTAAGGAAATATTGTTCATCCTATTACCAGCTACTTGCATTAATTTAGGTTTTTGTTGCTCTTTCACGCAAATAATTAAAAATATAACTTGGAAAACATTAAATAATAAATATGAACTGTAAATTATGAAAGGCTACTAGTCGTTGCATAAATGTCGCATTTTTTATGAAGGTACGGGACGGAATAAATATACACGTTGCTACTTATTGTGTGTCTTAAATATGTTCTAAGAAACTATACATAATAGACCAATGAATTAGGTATATATGTATTATTCAAATCTGATTTGTAATTGGCATTCAGACTAACAAAACAATCATACAAACTTTCGCCTGTATAATATAAGAAACACCTTTATATAAACCAACATATTACAAAAATAATTATTGGTCTATAATTTATTTAAAAACGAAAAAAAAAGTATTTAAAATTCTGAATATAATCGTTATACATTAACCTGAAAACCATATTAAATTTTTATCCAATAATTGCTTAATTTCCATATAAATTACATTAAAAGTAAGTCAATAATTAGCGCTATATATATTATTATGTTGTTTTATTTATGCATTTCATTATCTGCTTTCATAGAGTAATTGGTGAGAATAATTAATAGAAAATAGGTTATCATGAGGTGAAGGTGGCTAGCATGTAGACATGAGGCAGATAATACGTATTAATCCTGCCTTTTATAGTCCAATTCATTTCATATAGGTCACCCGGTTGATGCAGACAATTCTAAATTGCTCAGACTTTGAACCCCTTTTGGTGTTTTTGATCGACAAAAAGATACTGTATTCAAGAATGGATTAAAAAAGTAATTTTCTTTTATGTTTTTTTATTCGAACTGGACGATAACATATATTTAATTAAAATAATAAAACATGCAGTCATGTTGTAAGGAAAAAAATCCAATTAAAAATATAATAAATAATTATAACAATATATATAATGACATCTAAGACTTAAACGAATATTCATTTAAATAAAACTTTTTATTTCGGATATAGCACGCAAATTCTTTAAAATCGTTTTATAACTACACAAACCCCAAATTTCGGTTGATGCAAAGTAATCGAAATCTCGAGAGTATGTGATTAAATAGTAAAAAATGCGTATTAATTCCGAAAATATATTTTTTAATATTAATTATTATAAAAAATACTCAAAACAATTAGACAATATAAATAAATATAATAAATTATAATTGAATTAAAATAATACAGTAGTAGGTATTACGTTATTTGTATTATAATAAACCATTTGATTTATCTTTATGGAGTCTTAATAGCTTTCCGTGAAACGCAATTTCTATATGTATAGCACACAATTAAATAATTCCTTATCATATTATTAACAAATATATTATTGACGCACATAAACATAATATAAAGTCATTATAAATAAAGTAAATATTGTTTTTCTTCTTCTTCCTGGCAATTTCTAGCTTTAGCCAGGGTCTGCCTTACAGGTTATGAATAGTTTTCGATAATTGTTTTTACGACCTGCCTGTCATCAACCCTCTTTGGGAATCGAGAAGTAAATATTGTTTTTATAAGGCAAGACTATAACTTAGTGTGAGAATGCCCTCAAAATTTTTGTTTCTACATTTTTATATATACGTAGTACTTCCTAGGGATGCTTTAAATAATTCTCAACATATCACAAGCGAATGGTACAAGTGGCTGTCAATCATTTCTAATGATAGCATCTCATAGAGATTGTTCTCATGCTTACTTTTATTGATATTGATAGGAAATAGTTCAATCAGATAGACCTTCCTGTCGCTATACTAACCAACTTCAAATAGTTTTTTTTATACCGATTGTATATACTTATAAGGAACTTATATAATATAATATGCTTCGTATTTCGTTAATTAAGTCTGTCATAAACATCCAATACATTAAAAAAAACTACGTATAAAATACAGAAACCTCGCTCTTATATTTTTTAAACTTATTTCGGAAAACTATCACTTTTTTGTATTATGTCTCGCAAAATACCTATTAATTTATAATGTTTATATTTTTGACAACCCTAATATATATAGTTCTACATATATAAAAACTTTTTTAATGTATCTACTATTTGCTAAGCACGTTTTGAGATAAATCAATTGTTTGACAGTTCCTGTCAGTTGTTACGATAGAAAGAAGATAGAAAACTTTATCATAGAAACGCAGGGTGGCTTTAAAATCGAAAATAAAACATTAAAACAATATTTTTCGGGTTAAATGTTAAATAATAAAACGTAAAGATCATTCTACATTCATTATTGTTTGATATTTATATCAATCTAAAAGCAATACATCACAATTGAACTTGTCAAAGCTATTACACGTGCATTTGAATGCCAGTAATAAGCTATTACAGATTTCTAAGAAAAAATCTTTTTTATTACATACAGATTCCATTATTAATTCTATATATAATATCTAATAGAATTTCAAAGTATACCTAATGGTAAATATATAAATAATATTCTATTTGAAAATTCATAAACCTTGTTTTAATTTTTTTTAATACAAATTGGAAATAGAAATATTGTGACTTCTGTATACAATAAAAAAGACCTATCAAGTGCTATAGTAATATAATATGCGTATTTTTAGTACGAATAAATTAAAAAACAATGAATCATCTAAATTTTACCAAAGTGTTATGTACGCCGACATTTTTCTGATAAAATATCACATATTAGAGGCCCGAGTAGTATCAGTTATTATTTTATCAATATTCAGCTCAAGATAACAAAAAAAAAATTCGATAACTCCCATACAGCAATTAAGGAGAGACCATTTTCTAACAAAATTTATGGTTAATATACGAAATAATTTCTCGTAAATAAAAACAGTAATAGTATAAAATGATTCTTGTATTTAAGTATGCATTATATCTTAACGTAAAATCCCTACTAATATTATAAATGCTAAAGAAACTCTGTCTATCTGTTACGCTTTTACGTCTAAACCACTGAACTGATTTTAATGAAATTTGGTACAGATATAGAGTTGAACTTGAGAAAGAACATAGAATAGTATTGATCCCAGACTTTTGAATGGTTCTCTTGAAAACGCGATATAACCGAACGCTACGCGGGCGAAGCTGTGGGCGGAAAGCTAGTATATAGGTATTATAATCTCATAATTCGAACATACTCGTCTATATTTTTTACTTATCATCATCAGAATATCAGACACCACTGCTGAGCAAAGGCGTCTTCTCACATGGAGAAGATATGAGCATTTATTACGCTTGCTCAATTCGGGTAATATTCTGTACTTATAGTAATTACAACTGCACTAACAGATAAAAACGATAACCTTAAGTTGTTAATTATTGTCTCTCAAATCGTATCTCTAAACTCTAAAGTAGATAAACAACGAAATGAATATAATATATAGAAAACATTTGCATTAAATGACTTATGAAAGAATAATACATATAACTTTATATTTTCGTCTACTACACATTTTTTATATATTTTATAACTTAATAATCCCAACGTTTCTGTTCTTTTACAGCAACTTTGATCAAGAGCAGACGAAAAGAAAGTGTATTGTTTAAATTTAGTTAAAATATACCTACTAATATTATAAATGCGAAAGTAACTCTGTCTATCTGTCTGTTACGCTGTCACGCCTAAACCACTGAAATGATTTTAATGAAATTTGGTACAGAAATAGAGTTGACCTTCAGAAAGAACATAGGATAGTTTATATCCCACACTTTTGAAAGGTTCTCTTGGAAACGCGATATAACTGAACTCTTCGGAGAGCTAGTATTTAACATAAACTTACCTTAGTAGCTCTGACTCTGTCGTCCAAAATCAGTTGTGGTGGTAGAAATTGCTGAGCCCATGTACCATTGGTGCCGTTTGTGATAACTGTGGTACCATTTGTACCATTCGTACCATTTGTACCATTCAAATGTGGGCCATTGTGACCATTCACCAGCGACTCCATATTTAGATTCTCAACTGCCGTTGACATTGTGATGTGAATCTGAAAGTAAAATTAATAATATAGATATAAAATAACCAAATAAAGACAAAAAAAAATGTTTTTATAAGATCTGCTCAGTTAAGAAACTTTGCTAAAGTAGTAAATGAAAGTTTTAAATATATGTATATATCATATATTTATAACATACTAGCTTTTGCTCGCGACTTCGTCTGCGTTACTTTCAAAATTAAAAATGTATAGCTGACAGGTAGTAAATAATATTTTGGATTTGATAATAATTTTTTTTTCGATGAAAAGTATCTTATGCCTTTTTCCTTGTTTTAAGCCATCTCTTCAACAATATTCACCATAAACCGTAAAGCTGTTCTTGAGTTATAAATAGTGTAACTAACACGACTTCATTATAAACATATAAAGAGGTAAGATATTTCATGTCCAAAACGTTTTCGTGTTTATAAAAAAATATTTACGTTTTTCTAATATTTTTATATTATTTTTATATAAATTCTTTTTTCTAATATTTTTATATAAACTCTTCAGAATTATAAAAATTAATTCCAATCACGACGAAACAGCATGATTTTGCAACAAATCTATGTAATAATCTATTAAATTTAAATTCAGCAATTATTTATCAATTGATATGGGCTTAATATATATAATTATTTGAACAAAGTTTATTCTGTATATATTTAAAAACTTAGTTTCTCTTAAGCTTTTAATTTCAAAATATTATAAAACTGAGTTTTTCGTATACTACGCTTTTTTTATTATTTTATATCTACATGTTCCCGACGTTTCGGTTCCTTTACAAAAATTATAATCACGGTAAACCGACATGAAAGAAAAAATATTATTTACCATAACATTGTATTCCAAAAAAACTATTATTATTATACTCAATTATATTTTAATTTTTTATTATTTGTAACAGAAAAATCATCTTAATCTTAAAATAAAACAATTGAGAAATCAACAAAATCGGTCAAGTAATGACTGATAAAGGTCTCCCAAATATGTATAATGATAAAAATGATGTATGTTTCTGTATCATTTTATTATATGATAAGCATTAATACTTATTATATGATACGATATCCTTAATAGGTCTAAATGTTAGAAATGCGGTTTACGAGATAAAGGCGAATACTAAAAGAGATAAACATATTTATTCATTGCATAAGCGTCAGTTTTACTCCATTTAACAATTTATTCGTAAAGTGCAAACGCTATGCAATAAAATATCTACAAGCCGATAAAAATGCAAAGGAAGTAAGTATTTTTATAACATTGTTAAATAATTATGCTCGCTTTGAGTTATAAAAACATTTCTATTCATAGTAGATTGTATATATATTTATGTATGTTTTTGTATGTTTTCTTTTCTATTATGTTATTTTCTGTCTTTTTTTGTGCAATAAAGGATATATATATATATATTTATATATTTACCCACTCAAATTATAAAAAAACTTTTTAAAATTTATCCCTATATATTTTTATTAAGAACTACTTTCTATATTACTTTTTATGTGAATTTGAAATGATTAAATAATCCTTTTTGTGTCGATTTAGTATTTAAGACTACGCTATTATTCAATGATAAAAATTAATATAATAAATTTAATTAAACCAAAGTACGGCGTTAATTACTCAGGTCATATTTTGACCCCATCTTGTGGATTGAGCTGACCTTTCCAATTTTAAGGCTATCTCCAAAGAGTTCATTTCATAAACATTTATTGATACAATTGGTAAAGTTAGTGGCAATGACATTTTTGATAAAAATTATCATACTCTTTTTATTTCATGAATTCTTGTATATTTTTTTTATCCTACAATAATGATTATTTAGGACAAATTAACAAATATTGATACCCCAAAATAATTTATTTATGTACAGAACCAAATTTTTTGAGTAAAAAAACATAAGTATTCTATCGTTTTTTACACTATATAAAAGAATTAATTTGTAAACCTAATCTATAAATAATTAAGAGATAATATCTAAATTCCGTGACCAAAAACGTGTACATAAATTCCTCGATATCATTTTAATGAATGTTAATGCAATTATAATAATTTATGTTCGGTATAATCATTTGTATGCGTCTGCGCAACGTGGCTCTGACGTCACGACGCGCCCACCGCCCTTGCCAATATACGCCAATGTCCAACATTGGCCAATGTCTGGCCAATCTTTATACTGCAAACTATACATGACTACTTAATTGTTATTCTGTTACACCTTTGCCGTCATTTAATAGCAATTCTAACCACGATGTGTATAAATATAACAAATAAAGTAATTATAAAGCAAGACTTGAGTGAATATGCAAATATTTATTGCTGATACGTAAATACCTATATTAATATGAATTACAACGCGTTTGTATGAGAAAAATATTACAGAGATCATGTTTGTAGGTCTTTGATGCGAAAACTACTGGGCAAGTTTTGATGAGACTGTACAATAATATAGCTTACAAGAATGACACAATTTATTATGGATTTCACTGAATTTTCCACGGGATTAAGACAATATTTCTTTTGTAAGATGTCACAACACAAACGATGGTTGCCGCTGAAAGCAATTTACTATTTCTATTATTTTGACACACTTTTTTTATACATTCCTCTCACACCTTTGAGGTTTTTGCAGACGAAACCGCAAAAAAAAACTAGCTTGTAATACTGTATGATTTATTAGCGAAGCTGTCAAAGAATTATAAGACTAGTGATTCTTGATCTATATGTTGATATATCAAAACAAGTACACGAGTCAAGAGGTACACCAAGTGATAAGATTGAACCATTGAATAACTTATTCACTTCTCCGTAAAAAAAGGGTTATTCTAAAAAAAATTTTGATGTCTTTTTGGCTGTTTTGTCCATAGTTAATAATTAACTTGTTGAAAAAGAGATATCTTTTGGCTGCGCAAAAATTTACGAACCAAGTAAGTGTCAATGGTAACATTAAATTTAAACAAGTTTTTTTATGAATATTCATATAAAATAAACCTTGTGATAACATTTGAACTCTGAACTGTTAAATAATATAAATATTTCCACTCTTTTATCGTATTAAAAAAAATATTTACTATACATATATATATATCTACCTATATGTATGTTTGTGCCAACATGATCAAATTACAAATGTCTAACCAATAACCTTGATATCCAACAAATAGTTTTTATAATAAAAAATACTACACTCATACATTTTCCGACTTTACTCGTATAGTACATAATTATCGACATTTTAGATTCCGAATGAAATAACTTTGAGAATTTTAATCACTTTGAAGTTCAGACACAAACTACGATAGTAGTTAAAATGTTTTTGTATACTTCTAATTTATTATAAACAAATCTTAAAAACTAAGTCTGTTTTACATCTAAATAACGATAACAAAACATTTTTGACATGATCTAAGCGGGATTCTTATCAGCTGAATGGAGAGATAAAATTTAGAAGTTTTTCATATAATCTAGTTTTCGATAAAAAAAAATAGTTTTTGATAGTAGTCACAAAAAATATCTATATAGATACGATAAAGATGAACATTGCAAATTGATTTATAGCCAATATTAAATCCTGTGCATGAATTGCTTCCTTTCACGACCCCTCGTGACGACAAAAGATTTATAATACCAAGAGGAAGAACCAATGACGATCGTGAACTAAAAATATGACTTTAAATTGAAATACTCAACAAGATTTTTATAGCTGTGTTAATATTACGATTATTTTATTATCTTCTAAGTTTTTTATGAAAATTTAGACTAACGAAATGTTTTTTCAATGATAAAAGAAACTTAAAGTCCATGAGAGAAGAGGCCTTTGCTCAGTAGTGGGCTCTGATAGGCAGATGATGATGATAAATTGAGTAAATTTAACAAATTAATTCACTTGATGAAAATAAAATTTATTATACATATTAATTGTAATAAAAATTTACTAGTGTTGGGTCATAAGTCGAATATGAGATTTTCATCTCATCACCATCAGGTCACAAATGATAGCTTATCAGCAACCTCTGATAACGTATGTCGCAAACTAGACACTATCAAGTCAAGTGCGGCGTATTAAATAAATGAATAACAAATGACATTATGTAAACAACATGTGCCCGCGACTTCGTCTGAGCTGTAAATGTTTTATTTATATGAAAAAATATAAATAAATTAATATTTTTTATTTCATCAACTATCTGTTTGTCAAAGTCGAGTCAAAATCAGTGGTTTCGGACAAGATAAAAGACAGACAAACAAACAAATATATTTATGTATATGTACTGACACGTAAATTATATTAAGAAAGTCTTAATTAAATATCCGACAGCTATCTTTGAGCAAGTAATATAAAGGTTATATATGTAATAAATTTAATTGTTATGGTTGTCAGTTTAAAAGTATAATCATATACATACGAATCAAGAACTATTGAACTATAATATATAAAAATAATAGATACAAATATATTATCAACCTACAAAGTGCAGTGGTAAATATTTATATGAAAGTAAGTTCTAATTTAAACATTGAAATCAAACAAAGATAATATACATATTTCTTGAAAACATGTATGTTTTTTCCATAATGAAAAAATAAGCATTTATTTTACAAATATAATCGTGTAACAAAATCCCTTCACTGCATCTATAAATAGTAGAGGCGATGATATTTTTGTCAAGAGAACAGATTTGAAAAATGTATCACACATTAGAAAAACAGTTGAGAAATTATTAATGTAAAGAAAAAGAATTAAAATAATGAATTGATGAACAAATATAGGGTAATATTAAACTTAACAGAAATTTATAAAACTACTATTGATTATAATTAAAATGTATGATTAATGTTGTTATAGGTGGTAGAGCCTAGCTGTGGTGAGTCACTACAGCTCGAACATGGGCTGGCTCGACCGGGGAAGTACCACCCTCTCACAGAAGATCGGCGTGAAGTAGCCTTTACTGGCTGCGTTTCGTCTGATAAGTGAGAGAGCCGGTTGCCCTTTCCCT